ATATCAAATTCTCTGGCGAAACGTTTTGTTACTTCATTTACAACTTGTTGAAGTCGGCTGATTTGCCCTTCAGTATGTTATACTAATACTTTTTTTGACTCATTTATTTCAGAATGAGACCTTTCGAAATAAACTTGCAAGTGCTTAGCTGCACACAAAATTTTAACAGGGTTGAAAAATTTTCATTTCCCAGGTTGCTTGATTCTTTTGGAGACAAGTCATTTGAAAAAATCAGTGTGATTTCTAAAATTACTCTCCTGACCTGGCCGAAAGTGTCCAACGAAAGTACAAGTTAATATTTTTGTAAATGCTTAGAAATGATTGTTTTTGTAAAACGCAAGTTTTGCTGCTGATTTGTAAACTGCAAGAATTATAGTTCTGTAAAAAACAAAAAGAAAGACAAAAATTGACAAAAAAACTTTACCCCTTAATTAAGCATAATCATTTTTCTTTATAAGTCCAAGTTTCAAAACTGATTGGCAAGCTGCCAGGCTTATGACGATAGAATATATCTTGGACCATTGATTTTAATAATCTCAGCCCTATTGCAATTGCCATTTTACTTTGTAGCTGATCCTTGCTATCATTATAATAACCTGAGTGATGCCAATAGAAAGATAAGTTATGCAACACTTCCCGCTTCAGAGCTGTGTGACAGCCAACTCTCTGAAGGATGGTATCGTTTTGTGGGAGCTGCAGGAACAAAAATGCCAACGACACGTGTGCCAGCATACAGATGTGGCACAGACTTCCCAGGCTGGTTGGATGGTGCTCATCCTAGAGTGGAAGATAGTGAAATTCGCAGGAAAGTCTGCTTTAGTGATCGCTCTACTGGTTGCCAATACTCCAAAGGGATTTTTGAAAAAAACTGTGGATCCTACATCAGCTACAGACTTCAAACACCTCCTTGCCCCTCACGTTACTGTGGTACAGACTGAATATGAAGAAAAATATTCAAGAAATATGAGGACTCAATAATTGACCCTCAGGTACACGTACTTCAGGGATTTTGAGAAGTCCTCTTTTTATGATGTTTTTTGATTTCTTTTATAGGGTTTATACGTTGGTGATGTCCTGTTAACTTGCAATCAAAAATGATTTGAATTTCACATTTTACAAAACATCAGTTTCGTAATAATAATCACAAACAGCGAATTACTGCTGAAAGAACTAGTAACAAACAAAAAAAGAAAAGAATAGAGAAGGAGAATGCTTCTAGTGAAATCTTAGACAAGCAGGAACATTAAGTAGCATGGTAACTAGCAAAATACAACGAAATTGTGTTCTCAAAACGCTGAAAGCTGCTAAACAGGAAGGAATACATAGCACGGTATGATAATTTTTGCTTCAGCTTATTTTATAAATTAGATGCCGCTTTTGTTGGTGTTAATGGTGTGTTCCTTAAAAACAAAGGAACACGATTATGTAAGGAATGGTGTATGTAACTACTATCTAGTGTGAGGCAGTAAGGTATGGCATTAAAGTTTAACTGTTTTTATCGCAGTTTCACTCCAAAATTACAAAGTTTCTTTGCTGAAGAATTTTGATAGAAAGACATTGCCCTTGTTCCAATCCTATGAAACTATGCATCATGGCGTGGAAAAGAAATTCCAAATGCCAGCCTGGTGCAATGACCTAAAAGCCTGAAAACGGATCAGTGCGCTGTGAATGATTTTATAACTAGTTCACTACTGATATGTGAGTTTGATTCTCTCCACTATTGACATACGTGAGTAATATTGGCTGTTATGATCGTAAACTAGAGATAATAGAGGAATAGGAATAAGTCATGACTTTTGACACTCAACTAAACCTGTTCACCAGCTCGAATTACATGTAAAAGCTTTCGCTGTAAGTATTGCTTAATACAACTTTACCTACTCTTTGAATTATTTGTAAGGTAATTCTCATTACACAAGCAATGCTAGTGTTCAATTGTCATTAATCACTAAACGGTACCTATATCAGTTGCTGATAGTTGTTAGGGTTTAGCCATGCAGTTAATAGAAACGGAGGCGAAATGAATAAAAAAAAGAAATAGTTCATTTCTCTTCAGGAGCTTAAAACAATTATGTTTAGTATTTGCAGTCTTCCTTAACTATCCTGTTCCAATCAGGTTGGTGATAAAAATAAATAAATAAATAAATAAAATTTAAAGAAGTGAAATTGCCTACTGTCCTAAGTGTCCCTGACACCAAAGAAATATTTGAATTGAGACATGTACACATGTCTTAATGAAATTCAATGCAATAGATAATCATTAATGCAATAAATTGATGAAACTAAATGCAATTACATGAAATAAATACTTTGCTCACGCTTGATACCGATTTTATTCTCCACAGCGACACGTGACGTTCATCGGTGGGCCTCGATGTCTCTTTAAAACTTGATTTCGTGTCTAAACTTCCCACCGGTTAGGGATTATTTTTAATTTTGGATCAAAATAAGTGAGTTTTGCACTTTCAAGATCTCTATTAGGTACAATTAACTGGTGAATTTGGAAAATGTGTGACTGAAAATATTTGGTGTCAAAGGCGTGATTCACAGGAATAACATTTCACACGGCGACTATGCCTGTGATGATAGCGTAATCACAAAGGAATGATACGGGTGGCTTCGCCTCCTCTAGGAGGCAGTAACCACTCAAATTTTGATTAGAAATCACGAGTGGAAAACGTGATCACAATCCGCTAATTAGATATGATCACGGCCTGGGAAGCCGCAAGATACCGAGATGCTTCTGTGTGATGAGCACGCCCCTTGCGCTGTAAAGAATGCCTTTAAAAGGAATGAAAATGTTAAAAAAGAGCGGTAATTTTTAATAATTCCCCAGAACAAACTAAGACGTAAGAACCCAACATGGCTAGCTCACACCAATAAACGAGTTGAGTTATTCAATACTGGGTTGTCCATCCGTTGTACAGCACTAGCCAGTGGCTTTCACCATTGAAATGGCGTGAGTAATGAGCTAACTCTCGATTTCGCCGCTGTTTTTTTTTTTTTCTTTTTGTAACACTATTAAAAAATAAATTTGAAAGCTCTCTTAATAATGTATAAGATAAATCAATTTTCAGGTAAACAGTAAGCTCTGGAAAAATCCATTTACCGAATCGTTCGTAAATTTCCTGTTTCCAGAACGGAGAGACGTATCACTTACTGTTAACTGAACTTTCGCCTTACTGTTTTGGCACCCTAAATTTCCACCCATCTCTCCAAAACGGCGAAAAATTGTAATAGCTTTATGCGCTAAAAACAATTGGTCTCAAAACTAACCGAAGTAAACACGTACAGCAAACATTTCAATTATTCTTTGTTGAATTTCCGTAGTATTTAACTCACCAGGAGATATTTAAAATATGACAGTTTTTGCTCCAATGAAACATAAATATTTGGATTCTACCAAGAGAAATCTTGAAAAATATAGAACCATTCTTTCGTTATATGATCTCTTTGGAGAAGGATATATCGAAATATACCCAGCCATTGGATTGTTTTTAAACGATCGCGTGCAACAACTTTCATAATACCACGTGACGTGCATGTCGCGAGCGATGATCTGCAAATCTCATCTCAGCGTGTCGTCACAGCACAACAGAGAAAAACACAGTCATAATTGTGTCATTTGAAGACTGAAAATTGATAATTGTATAGATTTACTGCTGGGGCGTAAGTTAATTTCATTGTACTGACCCTTGATGATTGTGAAAAGACATTTATTTGTAAATGAACTTGCATGTCCGAGAGCCCAAACCGTATCAGTAACCACGGCAACAACTTGGTGCGGTACCTTAAACAAATCGAATAGTGCTTGATCCCTCTGGTAAGACACGCTGTATGGGTGTTCGTGCGAAAATTAACAGAGTATTAAAGCTTAAAAACTCTCGGGGGATAGATAAAACAATTGGATAACCTAGAGGAAGATGTTTTTCGTCTCGTCACGAGCGTGGGACAAAGGGAAAATTATGAGTCCCCACAAGGAGTCGAACCTCAGATTTTCGGATGCCGCGCTCCGATGCTCTAACCACGTGCACAGGGCCACAGAGACTCCACGGTGAGCGATCCTGCATACTGCTACCATCAGCAATTTTGATAGCGTAATGTTTGTAGATAGAAAAGTAAGAGAGATGGTAAGTTTTGAGCTCGTTAAAGAAATCGAGAAGTAAGGTAACTTGAGAATTAGGTTAGTTGGATAACTTCGACGTTTTTAAAATATCAGAACAGTAAAATAATTTTTGGCAGAATAATTTGATTTCTCCGCTTTAAATTCTTGTTCGAATTCTAGAAGTTAGGTAATTTTTCCAATCAGATAAGTCGTATCATTTTTTCCTTGTAGCAAAAATGTACACTTAGACAGAATTCTTGAAAGCCACTATTACCGATATGTAGTTGTCAACGTTGATCCATTTTACAGAATTTTGATGAAACTAATTATGAAAGGAAGATTGTTTCCTGCAATTATCTGTTTGTATAAGGAATAGACCGCACTTTCCACCGGTTTACCAGCGTAAAAACCCATGTAGGATGTTGGGAGAACACGAGAAAATTGTGCAAATCACAAGCCGAAAGCCAGTGATTTTAAGAGTTTTCGTTTAAGCAAGCGCGCTTTCTGATAAAGAACATAGGGAGACATAGTGGATATTTTAATGACTAAAAACCCAGTTGGTCCAAAGGCTCGATAGAACCAACAATTACCCCATAAAATTTAGGAAATTAAATTTTCCAGGGACCAAAATTGTTCGCCTCATCGGACATCTGTCCATACCCTTCTTCAGTAAATCCTGGATTGTATTGTGTTTGCAAAACTAAGTAAAACGTGAAATCGCTCCATGTCAGCTCAAGGCGTTATTTTTTTCTGTAAGTGCTTCCTCGTTCCCTTAAGTGGCCTTGAAGCATTTTTAAAAAGGTCGCTAAAATTTACGTTAAAAACGAAGTAAATCCGACATTCATGGCAAAGGAAAGGATATGGCGTCCAAAGAGAAGCAGACAATCGTTGTCGATCGTGTTCATTCAAAACGTGAAAGTCTTGGGGAACAGCCATCAGAAACCAGAGGCAGACATGTGTCGGCAGCTATCCATTGTCTCTCAAGATGCCGTGGAAAATCGCAGTGGTGCTTGTAGGAAAATATCTTACGACGAACTAGATACATAAGTACAAAATACTTAGAAAGTGGTCGAGACTTCACAGCACCGTTTTGTTTTTCACTTCTTAAGAAAATAAAATTTAACGATTTATTTTCTGCAGAAACCCGAAACTACTTATGTAGCCGTAGTGTTCCTCGATTTGGTATGGGTTATCTCAGTGAAATTAAGGAAGGGAGTGCGTACCAAAGAGACGGAAAACAGAATACTTGGTGAAGAACACTGACTGGGTTTTACGGGACTCGAACAGCATTTGGGAATGTTTGATGAGTTTAGTTTAGTGGAGTAACATTTCTTTTTTTCGAAAATCATTGAAATGAGACGCACGCTTCGCGCTCCACTTCTTTTTTATTTTTTTAATTTATTTATTTATTTTTTTGTTGTCTTTTTTTTTTCTCAGTACAAATCTTTTAGATTTTCCTTTAAAAATACTTGGTTCAAAGTTGGTATTTCAAGTCTCTCGAGTCTTTGTTTTCTTACCTAAAAAGCTTTTAGAATCCCCTCGAACATTGGATAAGATCATTAATAATATGCACATGAATCTCATTTTCAAACCTTAAACTAAATCGGTGTTTGATGTGCCGAGCGTTTAACTGGGTGGTGTCAATGACTACTAAAAATGGATAGCGTGACTGGTTTTAGAAATCTGCAACGTTATTCATTGATTCAGGATTTTTGACTAATCTTTGCCGTTATGAGCAAATGGCTATCAGTCAATGATGGAAGGAAGATGGTGGGATTTAGAGCGATTAACGTCTTCTAGACTAGTGACTGGTCTTCTAAACGTGTAGTCTCT